GGCCTGCCTGCCACCCAGACCTGCTCTTAGACGCAGGCCAGTCCGGTTCCTAAGGTCAAGGGGTCCACGGGGCGGGGAGACGTGCCCTCGAACCTAGATCACCCTCTTCTTGACCCTGTCAGGCACCAAGGGCCCCGAATTCCTTGCCCAGATGGTCCTGAGCCCACTTGAGCTTCTTCCCCGGCCAGTCCCCTGAGGCCGCCCGGGCCCAGGGGTGGCAGGATGGCAGGGTGGCTGGCGTGGTGAGGATGAAGGTGTGCATGGAGCTTGGAGTTCAGGCGGAGGCCCTCTCTGCCCGGGCAGGAGCGAGGTGGGGAGGGGAGGGGTGGGCTGCAGGGGGTGGGTGCTCGGTCTGTACTCTGCCTGCAGGTCTCTGACAGGAGCACACGGAGCTCATGTTCATGAACATGTTCGTGACGTGTCCCCCCATGAACACCCAGAGCTCCCTCACCCACAGCCCTTCCGGCCAACACCAGCCACATAAAACTGTCAAAAGCCAGTCCGGCTGGCACGGGGCCTCTCTGAGCTTCCGGGCGGGGGTCCAGGGCAGGTGGGGGCCTGCCCCGAGCCCAGCCTGACACCTCCCCGGGCCCCACCGGGCCTGCCTGACTCAGAGGGTGGGGTGACCCAAGGAGCTCTCACTGCCCAGGGCAACCCGGGACCTGTCTGGCCAGTTTCCCCGTTCTTGCCACATTGGCATTTAATTTTTAATTCCTCACATGTATCACCCTGGGATGGTTTCATTTAGACCAGGGTGGGGAAGAGGGAACCCCAGAGGGAAGCAGAACCCTCCCAGGACCAGCTGTCCTAGGGACTCGGCTCTGGACAGTGGACAGGCTCTGGCTTGAGCCCCGGGCCCGGCTTCCCCTTGGAGGTGAAGCAAGTGGGGAGAAAGGATCCCTCCCACTGCGCCCAGGCCCACGTGGTGTGGGCAGGGCTGGACGGGAGGAGACCCTGTTCGGGTCCCGTCGCCGCCTCACTGAGCTGTGTGATGGGCAGGCCCCGTCCCTCGGGGGCCCCAGTTTTCTCACCTAGATGAGCACTGAGGGCCCCCCAGGTCTGAAGCTTGGCAAGCGTGACCCAGCTCCTCAGAGCCCTCTGAGCAGGAAGCGGGGTGGCCTTCCCTTTCCGGAGGCGGAAGCAGGGCTGGGGGAGCGATCCCTGTGTTGTGGGGCTGCTTCGGTGGGGGCGGGGTG